AACACTTAAAACAATCAATGACCTCAATTTTACTACATATTCAAATGTCACCTAAAATGTACACAAATAATGTACAACTAGTATAATTCTTATTTTTATTCCAAACACATGTAATTTATGCTTCAATGGTCCCATCAATTTGAACCAAAAAAAAAAAAAATCACTTTCCTCCAAAAATCTAGACCAAACAGATGCAAAGTAAATTATGAAGATGATTAGAAGGCTTGTTACTTGCACGTACTAGTGCTAAATTATGAAAATTTAATTTGATAATTATTCTTAATGCTCTAACTCTTCAAATTCACTCAAAAAACTTCGATATTGATGATCGTTCAAAAGCATTTGCTTTAATATATCGAATATATTATAAGTTTATGAACACTCAGTTCAATATTCGAGCTCCTCACTCATCTTCAAAAGAAGAAAGTCTTCTTGTGAAGGTTAACTCTCTTCATTCAAATACCATGATCTCTAAAAAGATACCATGGAATCTTCAGTCCAGAGGATTTGAATGGAATTTTGAGAACGCTCAAAACCTAATTCCTACAACTCCAAATCAAATAATTTCTTTTCCCGATGGACATGTCGAGATGATCTTTGATGTACTACATCAAAAGGTCTTCAAAGGTCCTATTCCTTTAGATATGATAATAGATATGAAATTCCTTTACAATTTTTAAGGTTTCCAATTTTTTCTGATAAATTAACGGGAATTGATTTTAATCCAAATATTCCAAAAACTCAATATACTTCTGAGAATGACGATGAATCAGAACAACCTGATTCTCCAATTTTGTCTGATACGCCGCCTAATCCATCTGAAAGATTGGGTAGAGAATGTAATGTCATTTCTCATATTATTAATAGAAAAAAAAATTCAAAACGGATCAAACTCCTTCAGTAATTTTTTTTCCCTCTCAAAAAGATGTTTTCAAAAGAAGAAATGCAATATTTATGGAAAGAATTTTATCATTCTCTTGAAAATTTTAGCTTATATGAATGGGCACATTTCAAAGTTTTTGACAAAAAATCCATTCAAAATACCCATGTTAATAAAAAGACAGAGACTTTGCCTGGTCAAAGTTTTCAATCCAAGCATCCTCTGATACAAGAAATCATAGTTTCCCATGGAAACCTTAAGATTATTGCATCTCTCTCAAACAAGTTTCTACTGATAGGTTAGAAGATTCTAGCACTATAGCAAAAGATATCAAGACTATTCAATCTCAGAACAACTATACTAATATTATTCTTCAAACTGTTTGTTCTCAACTATCCATAATTGAAGCCGATCTTGAATCTGAGGCCTACTCGTTTAAAAAAGATGGGAATAAATCTTTTAATACTATTTTCAAACATATTGATAAGTACATTTTTGTGCACTTATTTGGGCCATAATACTAAATTTTTGTGTTGTTTTAGTATTAAATTTTATTTAACTTAGGTTAATTTTATCTTATTTCAGTTTTGGACCCGTTTCCAAGCAATTGGTAAAGAAAGAATGATCAATTGGCCAATGGATGGAAGTTTGGGGGTCTAATATGTATTTGAGTAAAAGTTGAAGTACTAAAATATAAATAATTTGATGTGGATGACCAAGATAGAAGAAAGAATGAAGAAAATGACTGCAACGAAAATCCGCGAAATTTTTATAATTGGCAGCCACCCAGTTATATTGGTTGGGCGGCCGCCCGACTCTAAACCTCAATAACATGGGCCATTTTCTATGCTTGAGCGACCGCCCCATTTTCTATTGGGCGCCCCCCTAGGCTAAATCGAGAAAAAATTTCGGTTTCCTAATTTGAGTCCAGCTCTTATGTAAATGCCTATTGATTCAAAAATTACTCCAAAACTGAAAAAGATTCGTTATTTGCAAAATCAAGTATTTTACAAAAACTTGCTTTTCAAAATTTCAAGTTAGGAGTTTCTAAGAATATCAATACTATTGATAATCTAGAAGACCTTGAAGCTCAATTTATTAAGAATGAGCAGCCTCAAATTAATAAATTGAGAGGGCAAAACTCAAAACTCCTGAATTTTTATTCTCGTCATTTTTATCGTGATATTTTATATGAGGAAAAGAAGAAACCCCAATTTTCCTGTAACGGTGATGAAATTGTCGAATGGAATATTGATGCTCTAACAAAATATCAAATTCTTCAAACACTCGTGAATATGGCTGTATGTTACACAACTTATACTTGTTGAGATATTTCTACTGTGGCCTTCGAAAATTTAGTTGGTGGAATAACTATCTTAATAATGAAGACTGTAACGACATTACTCAAGCTACAAATGATCAATATCAAAATGATAGTTAACAAAAAAAAAAAAAAAATTCAAATTCACCTCTGGAGTCTTAATTGATTTTGGTGCAGATCAAAATTGTATTACGAAAGGAATAATTCCTACAAAATATTTTGAAAAACCCACTGAAATTCTTTACGGTGCAAGTGGTAAAAAACTCAATATTCAATATAAAATTTTAAAAGCTCATATTTATAATTCAAATATTTGTTTCAAAAATATATTTTATTTTTTCAAATATTTGGACCAAGAAGTTATACTTGGTAACTTTTTTATTGTTCTAATTTACCCATTTCAAGTTGATTCAAAAGGCTTTACAACGAATATTTTTGGTCAAGAAATATTCTTCAAATTTACAAACCCTCATTCTTGTAAAGATGTTAATTTCCTTAAAAGAAGATTTGATTTCAAAAATTATTAATAATATTAATCTCAAGAAAAAACATATTCAATTCTTCAAAGAAGAAATTAAATTTAAAAAAATTGAGGAATAATTACAGTATTCTTCAATTATGAAAAACAATTCTTCGTTTCAAAAGAAAATTGAAAATGAAATATGTTTGACTATTCCAAATACTTTTTAGGATAGTAAGAAGTATATTATTTCTCTTTCTTACAATTCTAATTTTCATGAATCAAACATTCCTACAAAATCTCGTCATATTCAAATGAATAATAAATTACTTGATCATTGTATTAAGGAGATCGACGATTTGCTTGAGAAAGAACTTATCTGTCCAAGTAAATCACCATGGAGTTGCTCTACATTATATATCAACAACTCTGCCAAAATTGAACGAGGCGCTCCACGACTCGTTATCAATTACAAGCCTCTCAACAAAGTTCTCCAAGGGATTAGATATTCATTACCTCAAAAGAAAGGCCTGTTAAATAAATTACTCAAATCAGTTGTCTTCTCAAAATTTGATATGAAATTAAGATGGTAAATTCAAATTAAGGAAGAAGGTAAGTACAAAATCGCCTTCAATGTCCCTTTTGGTTAATACGAATAGAATATTATGCCATTCGGTCTAAAAAATACTCCTTCAGAATTTCCAAAAATCGTGAATAATATTTTCAATCCTTATCAAAATTTCATTATTATTTATATAGACGATGTTATAATATATTCTAAAAGTTTAGGACAACATTTTAAGCATCTCAATACATTAATTCATGTCATTAAGAATAATGATTTAGCTGTCTCGGTTAAGAAAATTCTTCTTTGTCAAACACGCATAAGGTTTCTAGGTCATTACATTCATCTAGGAACATTTACACCGATTCAAAGAAGTATTGAATTCGCAGATAAATTTCCTAATCAAATTAAAGATAAAACAAGTTTGCAGAGCTTTTTAGGTTGTGTCAATTATGTTGCCGACTTTGTAAAAAATATAAGGCTATTATGTCCTCCTTTTTTTCAAAGGCTGCAAAATTATCTATAACCATG